TTGTCGCCTGTTTTGTGTATAGGAAGAGAAACAAGAGGCTACGAGAAGGTACTGTAGGAAGTGTGCTTGGTGAGTCCATGTTTAGAATTGTTACTGAACATGCTTTCGGACTCTGTTGGGCTGCTACTTTTCTTGAAAGTCTAAATAAATTGTTTAAAATATATAACTATATATATTTCCCAGGTACAAAAATATCTGAAACTTATGACTTTGGCTTGTAGCACCTTGCTATTTTTTAGGAAAGTTTCTGGAAAACTTGTTTTCTACATCTGCATGTAAGACGTGAATAAACATAGAATGGAATCCTGATTTAATATTCCTCAGCTTAAGTTTTAAGCTGGCATAGCTCAGTCATTATAGTGTCTGGCTAGGGACTGGACGACCGGGGTTCAATCCGCGATGGGGGCAGAGGATTTATCCTCTAGCCTCTATGTCCAAACCAGCTCTGGGGCCTACTTAGCCTCCTATCCAATGGGTACTGGGGTCCTTTGCTGGGGGTAAAGCACGGCCGGGACGTGATACTGACCACTCACCCCCATTTAGTGCTGAGGTCAAGAATGAGTAGGAGCTATACCGCCTCTCCTCCCAAGTGCCTACATGGCATATAGTGGGACAGGTTTACTTTTAAAGTTTTCTATAGTTTATCATGGAATATCTGTGACTGCTATCACTACTTGGGTTATTCTGTACATAAAAAGTATGGTTTGATGTATTTGTCATTCGCTGCCATATAATGTTTCCCGAGGATGCAATGTGTTTGGACACAGATTCTTTGGAGCAGAGTCCTTCCTGAGAAGTTAATAGTCTTGTGTTGATAATTTTATATCTAAATTAACCCATTTTATGGTGATTTTGTTGTATACATTTATTTTGAGCTGGGATAGCTCAGACAGTATAGTGACTATACTGTAGGCTAGATCAGTGGTATTCAACCTGGATATGCATACCCCTGGGTGTACGCGAAGACATCTTAGGGGTTACATGAAATTTAAAAAAATATATATATATTACTTTATGATAAACACTGAATAATCAGGGCCAGATTTAGGGTTAGCCACAGGAGAACTGGGCGTAAGGACATTCGATTTGGGAGATTATATATGTATAACTTGAATTATACACCAACAACTTTGGGGTACAAAGTTGAAGAGAAATTATATCTGGGGGTACGCGAAAAAAAAAAAAGGTTGAATACCACTGGGCTAGATGACTAAGATTTCATTCTCAGCAGGGCAGGAATTTTTCCTTCTCCATAATGTCAAGATTGGCCCTGGGTTTCACCCAGTCTACTATCCAGTGGGTACCATCTTTCTTTCCTTGGAGTTAAAATGGCCTGGGGTTTGAAAGTGACCACTCACCTCATAGTGCAGAGATTAAAAATATGTGGAGCTATGCATCTGCTCCCTCATACATCTGTAGCACCACGGACAACTTTACCTTTCACCATTTATTTACATAAGTTTTTGCTAAATTTATATGTATGTAGAATTGAATAAATGAAAATTAAGAGAAATCCCGTTAGATTGGCACATTGTGTCATGGCTGTCTCAAAATACATAATAATCTTCAATCATTGATTGTGTAGAATTTTGTTTAGTTACTGTGATTATTCAGAGTATGTAAAAAAAGGAAGCCCCAAGATTTGAAAATAACTCCATGAGAGTCTTATTTTTATTGCTAACCTTGGAAGTAGCTGGTTATTGGTCTAGAAATAACATATCTGTAACATCAAATATGAAATTTTGTGACAGCCGTGCATTATTAAAATAAAAATGCTTCCCAGACATTAACCATCATCTTAATACAATTAAAATATGATGACTCAAGAGACTGGAATCTGTCTCCAACCTCAGGTAAAACCAAATCTGTTGGGCCTAATCAATAGGACTAGTCATTTGGGCCCAACACAGTAGGCTCTATGTGAGGAAGGAGACAGTCTCCAGAATTTTGTTTTTCTGTTATTTTACTATTTGTTAAATGTGCTTGCAGCAGCCAGTGAGCAGAGCAGTAGTAAGTCTGCCACCATAGAGATGTATGCTCCGAGCAGTTACAATGAGACTGTCACGGGTGAGACACTGAGTTCTGTGTCGGAAAAGAGTGAAAGTTACTCCAATGGAGACAGTAACCAAGAGTACCTGGTGAGTTGGATACACTGGCACAACATCTTCATCTCAGAAGTTTATATGCAACACTCTGAGCCAGGATAGTTCGATCAGTAAAGTGACTGGCTATGGACCGGACCAACGAGATTCAATTTCCGGGTTAATTATCCAAAACACTCTTTAAGAATTAAGGAACATGGCTTTGGGGTTGTCTTCAATGGCATGGCCTTCACACGGTTTGATAGTAGAAACTAGTATACTGCTGATAGTTGACATAAACAGATAAATCTATTGCTGCTTAATAAATGCTACTTTTCACTGCATAAAGAAAACTTAATAATTTGTTTTTCATATGACGTTTTCTAGCCTTCTGTACTTCTGTTTCTTTTTCATAATTTCAAAAGACACGTATAAGGAAGTCAAAGTTAAAGTTCAGAAATGTTTATTTGTTCACTCATCTTAGTATGTTATAATTTGTGGCAGTCACGCTCATGACAAAGAGTCCTACCAGAACTCACATTGTTTACAACCACGTATATTCCAGGAGGATGGAACAAAGCCAGCCGCAAGTACATACCTCATAGATCAGATGGAGTACCCATACCCATACCCAACATACGAGATGCAGCATCAGCCAAAAGCTCACCATGAGGAGCAGGACGTGAGGAATACGTACAATCATGGTGTGGATGGTAAGTTTTGTAGCGATAATGTGTTTCAGTGGGATGCGTAACCAAATAATGAACATCTGCAGCATGTAAGGATCATGAAAGACTCTTGGGTTACGAGATGCTTCAGATGGCTGAATGGTGGATAAACCATCTCTTCTGCTAATGTTTCGAGAGCAGAAATTGGTCTCAAAATGTTGACAGAAGATACGGTTTGTTCACCATTCAGCCAACTGACGTGGCTCGTAACCTGAGAGTCCTTCATCAACTTCAGTCGCTGCAAAATCTTTGCTTTATACATGTAAGGATTAGTTTCATATCTGTCATTTTCTATGTTCCAACAGAAAAGGAAATTTGTGAATGGTGTAATGGATAGGTTGTTGAAGGAAGTGATCATGGATTATTTTGGTACTATCTCAGCATTTGCTTGGAGTGACCAAGGAACATAATGAAAACAGTCAAGAAAAATGGCTTATGAGCTGAGATTTTAATTTGGGACTTCCCAAGTACAAAGCATTAGTGCTGTGTACCACAACATCAAGTAAAATGTGTTTGTGTTGTTGATCTGTAAACATAGTCAAAATTGGTCAAATGATGAAACTGATTTTATATTATGTGATTATGATCTGATATGAGGTGTACATCAAGATTTAACACATGATTGGAAACACTGAACTGAATTACTATGAACATGTTTTTGTTGATTCTCTCATGTCACAATTAATTTGTTGCAACATTCTTATAGGTCACGTACATTCACAATCAGAATTAAATACTATCTCTTACACTTTATTTGGTTCAGTATTACGAGAAGGTTTTGTTCTAGCACTACGAGCTTAGTACTGTTTTTACGATGCATCGAACCGAAGTCCGTAGGATCCAAAACATCAGTTTTACCTCACGAAGTCTCAGTTACGAACCCAGCAAGTAACAAAGGACATTACACGTGCAGTGGGGTCATTCAGTGTGTGCTGAAGTCGAAGATCTTTAGTAACACCAGGCAGTCAGAAAATTGCCCACTTATGCACGCGAATTAAAAATCCATTCCTGGATATTTATTGTTTCAACTTTATCAGGGGCTTAAATTGTGGATATCATTTTAGCTGCCTGCAAGAGCTAAATGAAGAAATTAATTAACCACTTCAGACCCATATAGTCAGAGAATAAAAATAAATATGGATGAGTATTTTTTGTTGAATTACAGAAAAGTTACTATTAATTGATTGTTCATTTTTTCCATTATTCATCCTTTCTTCGTCACCCTGTGGTATGTTCTTGTGGCAGGAATGAACGATAACAATTTGAAATGTAAAGACCTACTTGTTTATCGAATGTAGGATTCAAATTCCTCACTTCTGGTAGGATGAGAAACAATCTCCGAACATACACAGCATATTCAGGGTCTGAAAATGTTAAGTGATCAAATATATGATGTAACTTCTCAAAGTCGATGTCTATGTACATGTGATTTATGGTGTCAATGCACAGTAAGCAACAGGGTGGTATATTGCAGGTGCCAAACTTCATTACACTGCTGCTGGTAATATTGCAACAGCACATCCTGTGGTGGATGGACCATACTACAACATCTCGCCGGATGCTCGCTACATCCCATACCCTCCACAGCTTGAGTTCAGCCATTTGGGTCAGCTGGTGATGCCCGGTACTGGTTCCTTGCGCCGCCCACAGCATAGAGGCCCTGTTGTACCACCGCCTGATGTGACCGTCTCCCACAATCCTCCACCCCACTCTTCCCTGTCGACACAGCAGCAACAACAGCAGCAGCAGAATGGCCCCACGGCACCGACCCCACTGCTGTCAACATTCAATCCTGCTCTCAGCTATCCAGCCACCATGGAGACAGAGGGCCACCTCGTGTGACTGATGCTCAAGCCAGTGTGAGTGAGTGCTGTGAGCCAGGCAGTGTCTGGTGTGCGTAGCTTTGCTTCGAAGCCACAGGTCTTTGTGCTGGACTCGAGGGGTACAATCCCTTCGGTCGTGATTCTGATCAATATGCTGTCATTGTCACCATTATTTCTTAAGCGCGTTAAGTGAAATCAATCAGTTTTGTAAGCGTTTTCTCTTGTTCTGATATTATTTTACATTACCACTGTCCTGTCACATATTTCTGAAGCAAAGCTCTTCTACGTGTGAATGGACATATTCAGAAATCACACCTCAAACTATCGGCTACTGAAGGAGATCTGAATCTCGAGGAGCTTAGAGATACTGCTGATTTTTGCACCAATCTACTCCTTTGCGGCTATGAATATTATGCTAAACGTCAGTTGTGGTCTTCTGAATTACGATGCCTTGTGGTTGTGTAGTTGGTTACTGTTGTTTTAGAGGAACATATTCCCCCATCTCTAGAGTTGAAGTGAGTCAATATCATAGAGAAGATGAGCAACTGGAATAGAGGGAAGGAGACTGAGAAGCACTAAAATGGGCATATTTTAAGGGAGATTCTGAGAAGGGCCCTGTTTAGAACAGTGGGCTGAGAGAAGCCCTTTCAGGACCCTTCTGTAAACATTCCTCCTTCTAATACTTATTTCTGTTACCTGCTGCTTTGTTTCCCACCTTTCTTATTCTCTTGCCCTTTTATTGCCACTTCTCTTAATTTTCTTCCTTTCATCCCCATGGACTACCGTATTCCCTTCTCGCCACATACTGTCGCATGGTGTCCTTCAACCTGTTGTTCCACCCTTTCTAGGGCCTCAGGACCTCTCAGTCACCTTTACCTTAATTCTTTCTCCCCATGGCGATCCTCCCTTATAAATGACCCATATTCCCAGCTTGACCCACTTTAACCCTGAAAATGGAGGTGTAACTATTTACAAGACCTGAACTGACATAATCAGTAGCTTTACTTTTTGTTTGAATAATTCTGCTGATGGTTTGTGGTTATGTGCAAGATCTCCAAACATGTCATATGTTTTATGGGATTCGTTATGAAAAAGGATTAGTTGAATAGGGCTTCCATATTTTAAATACATTGATCAGAATCAAACAGTTAAAGGAGCTGTGGTGTTTTGTTTCGAGTGTATTTCATACTCCTTATTACAATTACTTTTTTTTCAGTAATTTGAGGCATTATAAATTATTGTGACAAATAATGCAAGCAGGAAACAAGCACCGAGGTTTGCCTGTTCTTGAAATTAAACAGGTCCAATTTCACACCTACAGTAAACTATCCGCAAAATTCAGTTTGCCCACTTTCCTGGAGTTGAGGCCCCAAAGTGTCCCATAGCTTCTTAAAGAAACAGGTAGGGGTGGAAATTATGAGTTGTAAAACCAAACTTTCATCACTATTTAGCTTGTCCGAAGGGTGTGTGATCCACCATCACTTGAAACTTAGCCGGTTTCCTTCCTGTTTCTCGATTAGCTGCATCTGATGCGTGGTGTTGAGTGGTAGGATTCTTATGAATTATGAATTTGGGAGGATGCGGGAGAAACTGTAAAAGTTTTTTAGTACTAGCTGAGCATTTACTTGGTGGAATTGAATTTCGTGGAAGGAATAAAAACAATTCAGAGTAGCCTGTCTTTGAGCTAACTATGAAGTCAGAACCTTTGAAATATGATGGAAGAATGTAAATCACCGGTTTATTCTTGGTTAGCATGTAGAATATTCAGAGCTTTGCCTTTGTTGCTGTACTGAAGTCTGGATTCTTTGACTCTGGAATTCAGCATGGTGACCAACTATACAGACTGACATTATCTGAGGCTCTTTTTATTTACGTTGGTATATGGAATATCCACATTGTTCTGAATTTTTTTTTCTGAGTCATTTTTCAGTTCTTTTCCATACAATCTATGCAAATTACAAAGTGAGTTTAAACAATTCAAGAATCTGTCAGTCAATAAAATTCCATTCTTCAGATATATGCGGCAGTTGTCATTCAAAAACTCTGTACGTATTGTGACGTAAAAAGAAAGCGTAACATAAAATATCATAATTTAATCATTAGCTTGTTTTTAAATTGAGGTTTTGATTAGAATCTGAAGGTGGAGACAGGCTACCCTGATTATTGAGGAATTTTGTGAGTTACCTCAGTCCCTCAAATGCAGAGAGTAGCGTAGAATGTCATGACTTTCAAAAGTTTCTCAGTTTATCATTCATAATCATTCTGCTATTCAGTGGCACATAACTTAATGTTAATGGTAAAATATGACCTTTCTTATGTCTCCTTTGCGTCCCTTATGTTTTTCTTTGGTTTCTGTGAAAGAAATAAAGAAGACAAACAGTTGCTTGTTCCTTGCTCACTTAAAGTTTTGGCCAGGCACTGCCAGAGAACATTAGAAAACTTCATAATCCGATGCCAAAGTAAACCTAACGCCAACAATGTACGATAAGGCTTCCATGCTGGGCGTTGCGACGTGGCAGCAGTTGTTCTGATGCAGCACTTGTTTCAAGATCTGCACTACGATGTTGGAAATGGTGCTATTCTTCAGTGGGAGAGACTAGGGCTGCTTGTTGATGTGTTTAGTCATAACTAGTTGATTAATCAGGGATTAAACATAGGGCCTAATATGGGGAACCTCATTCAGTAAGAAGTCATCTCTCTCTTCAGTTGCTTGATGCAGCCCTAGGGCTAATACTCATGTTACTTAACTACAGGTGAAAGTGACCGTCCTAAGTCTGATGGAACAAACCATCTTACTTGCCGGAACTCTGCAAGAGTGGAGTGTGTGTGTGTGCTGGTGTGTTGGGGAGGGGTTTTATTATGGGAATGTCGCTCAATGACCTTCTGAAATGATAGAAGCAGAAGAATTTTTCATGAAGACTGAAAATAAAAATTAAAAAAAAAAGAACGCAGTTTTTCCGTGTTATTCATAATGTCTTTTGATCTCAATTTTCTTATTTGTACTTACAAATGTTATTACTTGTCAACATGGTGATTGGCAGGCTGCCTGCCACTGCATAGATTTGTGGGGAGGGTGGGGAGCTCTGAGCAGCTCAAGCATTTTCACTTTGCTCTGTCTGTGTATAGTAATGTTGTAGAGGGTCTATTTTCTATCGATTTTTCATAGCCACAGTGCAGCCAACTTGGCAAGTTACGTAGCAGCTTGGTAAGTTTGCTGTTAAGTAAGTTATTCATCTTATTATTATTATTATTATCATTATCATTATTATTATTATTAATATAATTGATGTTGCATTTTGTTGTATTATTTTACTGGCATAAATTAAACAACCAAAGATTATTATAAACACGTGGGCTAATATAAAACAATACCCATCCGGACACAGGGCTCAACTGTATGTAATGGTAGTCCGTAACTGTAATGCCATAGTTGTCTGTGAAGAATATCTGCAATTGTTGTATTTAAGGTTTCTCAGTTAAAGAAGTTCACAGCCCTAAGTTTTGATCGTATTAAACAGCTGTTTAATAAACAAGGCACACTGCATTTAATAGTTGGAAGGATTGTAATTATATAAAATACGATGTATATAAAGATGTTGATGTTAATGGAAGTGACTTTTTATATTCGTCAAATGTTATTGTTCAATAATATGGCATAATAAATATCTAGAAGATTCGAGGAGCACACTTTGTGTGTCACTTATGCTGTTTGTTTATGCAGTGAAGTTTCAAATGTGTTGGGCAGGTTAGTATGTTGCCAGTTGGCCACTATAGCAGAACTACAACTTTTGTTTAACATCCAGTGCTCTTGTTGTTCAACATAATTTTACAAGAAACTGTTTGGGATTGTGTTCTTTAATTCCCAGTCAGATGACACTGCTTTAGAACTGTCTTTTTAATTGTCATTCTGTTTGTTGTTCCCACATTTTAAGTGTCAGTTGTTTTCAGTGAACTTGTATATCTATTTCTTTATCATGCCATGTACTTTAGAATTGGTTAAACAGCCTTGAAGGAAATCATAAGGCTCCTAGTCAGTATAAAGTTTAATATGGCAACTTAGTGCTTAACCCTCTGATGTACTTAAAAGTTAGGTTAGGTTAGGTAGTATACCTAACCTAACTTTTAACCGGTGATGGGAAATGTTGAGGCTGCAATCTTAGCTTGGTTATGAGGAGGAAAGGGGAATTATTATCAGTGACATGTACACTGATGACAAAATGTGATTATGTTACTCTGACTGAAATTCTTGTGATTTTTTATACAATGCACACTTCTCCATAACAAAAATAATTGCATTTATTTTGTACCTGAAACAACAATGCCTGCAGTCATTTTCATCTCAGCGAGAAATGGAGGATTCACTATTGTTGCTGGAATCAACAATATAATTAAAGACAATGAGCATGTTGCACTGCATCATCCTCTGTACCATCCTGATTTAAATTCTATAAAATTGGCTTGTTGAGATATAAAATATATAGTAACGAAAGAATGCACGTCTGTGAATTTGGAGGAAATATAGATGTTCTGCTGCTGAACACAAAAAAGAAAAATGACAAAAAGGTGTCAGGCCAACAACCAGCCCATCACTCCCATCTACTCTCTGTGGAAGTTCTGCCCTCAGGGTACAGCACTAAGTTCCCACACTACAGTTCAGATTGCTTTCATTAAAATACATCCCCATTTGCAATGCAGAAAATTAAAAGGCCTAAAGTTTTTAAAATGAAGGGTTTAATTGTTGGAAAGGTATTGTGTTCATGTTTTATGAGAGCTTGTGAGCTTCTTTAACATGTCATATGTAGAACGATGTGTTAATGGTGAAAGGACTGTACATAAGCCACTGTAGGCCATCTTTCCTCCTGACCCTTGAAAATGCAGGCATGTCTGTCTAGGTGGCACTTGAATACATGTTGGCATGCTGTTTGTGGCCTTGGGACAGAATTCAAATGAGGAGTGTACTTTATATTAACGCTGCTTATTGCTAATCTGTTTTGTTGTAGGAGGGGAAGCAGTGGAGTTGATCTTTTTCTTTCTTTCCTTTCCCTCACTCTCTGTTTTCTCTTCCTTTCAATCTGTTATTCTCTTTACCATATGTCTTGTTACCATGATAATTGGGTAATCCTCCAAAAGTCACATACCCGCATGGGGAATCCTCCATGATGACGTGGCCATAAAGCCAGACAGACACCCCTACCATATAACAGCCACTGACTCCAGAAAAATCTGCGCCACTGTCTGCTTGTGTGGTCAGTGGTCCTTGAAAAAATACCAAAATTGTCATGATGTGCATACATTTTATAACTACTTTTTTCATTCTTTTATTCTTCTTTTTTGTTGTTTTTTCATTTTCTCCTTCATTCACCTTTATCTAATTATTTCCTCTCTGCCTTTCAAGAAAGAATGGGTCTAAATGTTCATGTGTGGACAAACGGATATAAATGCATGACAGCTTCTTTCTTTGGGGACAAGTTAAGGAAAAATGAAATAAAATGGAACAGTTATGTAGACCAGAGGCAGCAAGGGCTAGACATGATAGTGACATGATGAAATAGGCAGCTTGATGATTACGGACCCTCGTGTTACCATTTCTGTCTCTCCAGGACTAGAAGGCACACAAACAGCCACGTTTGTATCAGCAAAAGATGTAATGAAGTCAGTACTAGACTGTCACAATTTTATGGAACACTTTGCCTATTTAATCTTTACTAAGCACCTTACTGTTATGTTTGTTTCAGAGGAATGTGCCTCTTATTATGCATAAAATTGTGCTAGTCTGAAATAAAAACCACTGACAACCGTTCCCTTTACTTGTTAGAATGAATCAAGGCAAGGCGCATACAGCCATGTAAAACTTGGAAAGAGTCTGTGGCTCTGTAATATTGTTAAAGGTACAGTTTATCTTATGCAGACTCTGCATATGAGTTGTATCAAACCATTTCTCCATTCTGGCTATATGCTGTGCTATGCTGTCAACAAAAAATAAATGCAAGTGTCTTTATTTTGCTTTGCTAAGCAGATAATCACGGTGCATATGTGTGCTGTCGACAATGATTTGCTCAATGTAGAGCAGATGAATGCATAATATAAACCACCTGTCATGCAGACTTCATGATGCATATGCACGAAAGATATACTGTAACTTATGTTGTTTATACAGACTTTTTCATCGCAGTAGAAAAATGGTTCCCAAATTGTAGTTAGTGAATTCCTTGATACTATGCAAAACGTTTTGCAGGATTCACTGGAAAGAAATGCACAGTGGCTTTATTTTGTACGTGAATGTAGTGGTACTGTATTCTAGGTATTTGAATTGCACAGCAATACCATTTTTCTTTACTTCAGAATGTTAATGATCTGTGAAACGTTGTGAAGGTTCATCTGAGTGATAATGGTAAGATAAAATTGGTATGTGGCTGGAGTGATAATGGACAAGGGACAAATTGTCATAAGATGAATCTTATTGAGGAGATTATCACAATTTTTTTTTATTTTTCTAACAAGTGGTGTGTGTACTAATAAAATTTGGGAACCATTGTATTAGAAGACAATGGCTTTTATTTCTGTTGTATTTGATACTGTGCAGTGCAGTTTGATTGAGTTGCGCCCTCAGCAGTCTATATGTTTGTTGATTTGAACTGTCGTGTAAAACTGTATGTCAGGTGTGAAGCTACTTCTCAAGTCAACATAGCTTAATTAGCAGTCTCAACAAAAAAAAACTTGACATGGCCACATTTTGATTCATATGTGTCTGTTCCAAAAATAAATTATTAGCTTCAGTCTCTGGGCATGCAAAAAATGTTCACGTACTGATTCATGCAGATACGCAGAAGAAGGAAATCCCAAGATTTAAAAATAATGTGATATCAAATTAAATTTACTTCAAAATTTGTTGAAGTATTCATCAAAATAGCTAATGATGAGATTTGTCATTAGGGGCTACAGTTGAGAATAATTGTTGCCATTCTCAAACTGCTGGTCATGCTTAAAATAACATTGGCAATGTTTATGAGCTGTTGTCGCTGTACTTGACGATAACTGTGGCCACATGTGAGAATTGATGTTGTCATAATATTGAGAACTGCTGTGGTCATACTAGACAGTAATTGTGGTCATACTTCAGAATCATTTTAGAAATGTTTATGAATTGCTGTGGCCACAGTTGGGAATCACCAGGACTCCAAAATGCTCATGGTAATATTTTGTGTTTTTAATGTTTGGTAGCGACTTGCTGGAAGATGTAATAATGTTGTTTTGTATTCAGAGACCACCTGAACACATGTGTCTGAAGAAACTGGAGTGCCTTGTAGTTACTGGCTTTGAGGAATATGATCATGCTCAATAAAAATTAAAGCAAGTTGAAGTGTACCAACTGAGTGTAGGTCCTGGTTCAAATGAAGAAGTCATGAACTTTATTTATGTTACAGTGATACAAACATACAAGAGAGTCAAACCACTGCTGTGCTCATTTTACAAGGTACATGATTAGTTTGTTATTTTACGATGCTGCACCGTGTAGTGTCAAGTCTGATATGCATATTTTCAGACGTTGCTGTGTGGCACATAAAGGACATAGAGGTAACTAAAGAATCAAATCTGTGGTGTAGGGTTCTGTTACAGTTATTACACAGCTGGTTACAAAAGTTATTGTTTTTATGGAATCTGAATTTTCAGTATTCACAGAAGCCCACAACTGGACCATATTAGAGCTTACTCTATTTGGATTATCGAGTTTCTGGACTATGTCCATTGTCTGGTATTTTAAGAAAATATTTCAAAAACTGGATTTGTTTTCATCCTCAGGTGCAGGGTAGAGGGGCACCTGAGAACAAAAACAGATACAGTTTTTAAAAGTGTTTATTTGTTTATTTTTATATATAGAATACCAGATGATGGACAAAGTCCAAAAACTCAGTAATCAAGATTGTAATGTACGATTGTCAGAACCCTTAGGAATTGACCTATTCTATTGATATTGATTTTTGCAACCTATTCCTCTAAAATATAATTTAACACATTCACTGCCATGTAGCCCAGTTTGGATTTAAATTCCCTATGCCAACAATTTTTCACTGTGGGGATCTGTTTAACATGAGCAGAAAAAACTATTTGAAGTAAACTGCATGAAATTTTCTGGTTACCTTTAATACTGCTTTAGAGTGTGATATGATTTCTTGTATAGTTATTCACTTCCATATAGATGTTTCACTTTTCCACACTTTCATCAGTCATCTTTATACATGTGAGGCAACCACATGTTTACAAAGTAATAGGAACTTATTTTGTGACAGAATATCACTTGTAAATACATAAATCAGTACATCAAAGCTTCCATTATCATCTGTGAAAGTCTGAATGCTTTTAGTGACAGCTACAGGAGATTTCAGAAACTGTGTGTATAATAGCACTAAATGTCGGTGGATATTTTTTGTAGTGTGAGATGATGAAAATGTCATTTGATGTATTTGGCAGAATATTTCATAATTTCCATTTTCTCGATACAGCAGTGGGAACTTGTATGAACCTGCATTTATATCGACAAAATATAGTTTTCTTCTTGTCATGATGGCACAGACTTAGAGGAATAAAACTGAAGAGTTAATTCTGGAGTTTTGACTCTGATGAAGCTGTCTTATCTAACAGGGAAGAAGAAGACACTGACAATGAGTGATGATAATGTGACTGGAAGCCAAGATAACATTTGGTCAAAACCATAATGCCCGTGGAATGTTGGCACCAATCAGTGGACTGAACATAACCACCCACTGTGAACAAGGGTTTTCTTTGCCAGTTACAGCCCTTTTTCTCATCTTCATCGATCAGTTCTGACTGTTGTTGGCAGAGACTAATAAATATTATAACCAATATTTAGGCCGACCAGATAGTGACAACGTATGCTCATGACTTCCTCATGTGAACGTGCTGGATATTGTGTATTTTTGGTTTATATTATACTAATTGTACATGACAAGCAGGATACATTGGAAGACTTCTGGTTCACTCCTAAACAGTTCTTTACATTTTATGGAATGTGATTGACTTCCTCATGTGCTGACAGCAAACGTGAAAACTTTTACTAGGACAGTGGCATTGGCCATAAACTTTACATAGACATTTCTTCCTCCTCTCTGAATTTATTTTAAGGCCAGAAGACAAGAGCTAAACTTTTGTGAAACTGTCAGACAAGGACTTTAAAGGAATGCCAGGGAACTTTGACAGTAAGACACTAAAATTAAAATGGGGTGACACACATGCTATAGTTAGAGGCGTCTTGACAGTAGTGACTTGGAAAGACAAGCGAGATGTGTGCATATTGATAAATATGCATAAACCACCAGCAGAACACAACTTATATGATGAATGTGGGTAAGTTCACAAACCTGCTACTGCTGAAGACTACTGTCAGCACATGCGCTATGTCAGCAAAGGGGACAGAATGGCTAATACCTGTTTATTTTGTCAATAGGACATGGTAGTGGGGAAGGAAATTATTTTTTCACCTGTTGGATCTAACAGTATTGAATAATTTATCATTATAACATCCAGCAGTATCCAAATAGACCAGTGAAAATTTTATCTGACTTTTGTTCAAAATTTGTTAGAAATAAGTGCAAGGGAGCATCAGCTTCAATCCAACCCATTCCAATGAAATGAGTTGCCATGAAGCTTGACACACTGGACATTAGCCAAGTGTAGGATCATGTTTGCAGTTATTTGTGTGTTCGCCAAAGGAGAAAAGAGTGACTACAAAATTTCTGTGCTGCAAATACAAAGTTGGCTTATATATAGACCCATATTTTCATATTTTCCATACAAAAGTAAACTACATTCGTCTTCCATTACAATGTGGAAAGAACATTTACTATAATAAAACTACTGTTCATTTTGATTTATATATTCTGCATTTAATTTTGTTTCAAAATCTATCACCATTTTTTTTAGAAAAATAATATTGAACTATTAAAATAAAGCGCTATAGAAGTGTATGAAATATTTTCTGTCAAAAACTACTACGGTATTTCAACAATTTAGATGTTCTAAATTGTTGCAATGCTTATAATATTTATTGGTAATGGACTGAAAATTAAATATTGACTGGTGCCATACTGTTGTTAGGAAGTGTACAAACAAAAAACCAATAACCTTACCATAAGTTGCACACTTTTAGAGATCTATTACCAAACATAATTTCTGGACCATTCATTAAGTGATATTAGTTTTGCACCCACATGGCTGCTGTGATGGGCCCATTGATTCAAAAGATATTGGGGAACAGAGATAGATATAATGCCACAAGAATACTTTGTTTTAAAATTATCATTCAGAAATGTGTGTTCTGATTTGCATTCTAAGCTTCCACATTTAATCAGTTGTAACCTATGAAACTACATGTTCCTTACTGTATTATGTGCAGCACTTTTCCTTCGATGATTTTATATAAGACAGTGGGCTAGAGCTAACCTCAAAATATTAAGGATAAATCTGTCATTTGGATTTGATCCCATGACCTTCTGGATTAAATTCCAACTCAGACCCAGACTGAGGTATAATTGACACAAAATGAAATCGCAATCATAAGACACCTTTACATTGATATTTGATAGCAGGCAGCCATTCTATTGACAAAATATTTCTCACAAAAAGTGACCAGGAGCACAAAAGAGTGGTCATTTTTATTTGTGACAGTGGGCTAGAGCTAACCTCAAAATATTAAGGATAAATCTGTCATTTGGATTTGATCCCATGACCTTCTGGATTAAATTCCAACTCAGACCCAGACTGAGGTATAATTGACACAAAATGAAATGACAATCATAAGACACCTTTAAATTGGTATTTGATAACAGGCAGCCATCAAAATATAAGGAGCACAAAAGAGTGGTCATTTTTATTTGTAAAGGTACACTGATTCAGCTTTGCTCCATCCCACAAAAAAGTATAAGCAACCAACTGCCACTATTTCTTCTTAGTTTATAACCTTTAATTTCAGTAAAAAGACTGATTAGAAAATAAGTACACAGAGTAAAACGTTTATACTCACCATGTTGCCGAAGAGCTGTTACAGTGGTGGCCATACAGGATTCCTTAACAACCAGACTCAGCTAGCATATGATCTACTTACAACACATTAACTTAAAATTTTTAAAGAAATGGAACATGAGCAAAATGTGGTCTGGCCAAGACTAGTAGTTTATCTATGAATTTATTTAAGAGGAGTGTTTACAAAAATTACATTACATTACATGGATTCAAAAATCAAATGTACTGTGTTCCTATCATCATGAAATTTTCTTATATTGGTATATAAAATGTTCTTCATATTCCAGATATATCTGGGGAAGCCAGGGAAGTATGATCGCTAACCTCCTCAGTCCTAATCACAATTATTTAAATCAGTCTTCCAGTACACAAACTCACACACATGCATAATGCGATTCAAGAGGCATCTGCCAAACTGTTTATGATCTGAAGCTTTCACGGCAATAAAGTATAATGAATTCTTCTCTGGCTACCAGCCATGTAAGGTGGTTTAATGAAGAAAACACCATTTCAAGAACCATCTTTGCCGGTACCCTGAGGATTAGGACAAACATGGTTCTTGAAACTGTGTTTTCTTCATTAAACCACCTTACATGGCTGGTAGCCAGAGAAGAATTCATTATACATTAACTGGTTTTTAGTAAAAAGTTCAACTACATAGATCCAGTTTGGAAGGGTTTGTTTATTTGAAAGTAAGACAAGGACATACCAGAAATTAGGAGTCTTAATGAAAAATTTCACAGATATATCAATATGAAACAGAAAATATTATTCAAAAGTAATACATGTGACAAAGATGGTGACTTTTCAGGTTCTCATGGCTCTCGATTGGGATGTAGTCTCGTAGATACAGACCAGTGTTTCAGAAAAACTTACTGCCTTCATCATCAGAATGATTGCAATATCTCAGAAGACAGCCATCTTCATGTTACAAATCTATTCAAAGAATCTACCTGCAATGATAATGTAATCTCTAGCAAGGCATATTAGTGTATAACAGACTACATACAGTATTCTGTTGAAGTTGCTTGCAACACAGTGTGTAGTGTCGGCATGTTTTCTGACACTTTGAACAGCTTTAATAACATGTTTCATTATTAAATGACACTTTATTACAGTTTCACATTGGAGTTACTGTGAAATTTTTCACAAAATCCTCTTATTTCTAGTACACCGTCATTTTACCTTTAAATTATAATTACTTCTTAACTTTTCCACATTGAACCCACGTGTTTGGACATTTGTTACCCAAGCTCACTTAATTAATTTATTTACAAAGTTTGGCAGTTGCAAGTATAAATTTATACTTTGATTTTTTTTAAGTTTTGAAAGTTATTTTTAATTCCAGCATTGTCATATGCACCACATTGGAATGAAAGTTATGACATAAAAGTGTGTATATGCCTTTTGGTTGAAAAAATTATAAAATATCCATTGGATCTAAAATTGAGTTCTTAGACTCTGGTACAACCACCACGCTGGAGTATCACCCATTGTCAGCTGTCTGCAACTGCCCTTTATATCTTGAGGCCTTCTCCTCCAGCTACACCCTCAGGACTTGCCATACATACCATGCTGATTCCAATATTGTATTAAAAACCCATTTTCTTTATCTTGAGTGATTTATGTCTTTATAGGGGTTACAGTTCATCCATATTCCTTCAGATTAATTTTTTTGCTTCATAAGAGAGTGTAAATGACACAATTTTATCATACAGAAACGTGCAGTAACTTGCAGTGGTTCATAAAAATTCACAAATTTTAACTCTGCTTGGCATTAGGAACGTTTTTACAATGTACATCCCTTTCAGGTTTATTGACAGATTTGTTCAGTTAATTATACAGAATGCTGTAATACTGATTTTCTGTTCTGAGATACTCCACTCACCAATTTGAGAAATAAATCAAAAACGATATCTGTGAAATGTGTTGTCAACATTCAGATATGCAAAATTAGCCATCAGATAATAACAATAAATTAGATATTGCATTATATGAATTAAGAATATGAGAAAGCAGTCAGGTACTAACCCAACATTTAGAAGAAAACCATGAATAAACTTAGTCCTAACTTAAATTCAAAGCAGGGGTCACCAAGACTGAGGTCATGAGTGCTAACCATTAGCATGCGTTAACAGTGGAAGTTATAATATTGTAACAATTTTTGAGGTTATGTAACATAAGATATGAGGGAAAATTACAAAAACAACCAGTGCTTTGACTCCCTTGCTTCCCCTCTGTAGTTTAGAAAGTGTGATCATGACCACTGCACATTGGAAGATTCCACACAGAGACCATTAGTGCTGTTATTGTGTATGATCACACAGAATTTGATACAGTTCATTAGTTTTAACCATCAAATGAAAAGCCAAATATAGATTTTGTGCAGCATCTACTGTACATCATACAGAAGAATAACCTAACCTAACCTAAAGCGCATAGTCTGTCAGTAGATGTTAACAGTATGGTCAGCTAGTCAAGAACTCCCCACCTTTCATGAACCCAATGGTTCATTGCCATGTTCAGAAGAGAAATTTCAGGTCCTCAATGGTACATATGAAGGTGACTGTCTTCCAGAATGTTGCACCATGTATTGTAACCTTCGATGTCGTGGGATCACCTATGTGGAAGAATTACGGTGCCTGACAGAGGAGACATATTGTTTCATGTGGACTTGGGCCATAGTAAGGGGCTAGTATTCATATTTACATTCTAATCACCATTAAAAAAATCTACAGACCACACACATTAAAGAGAAAACTTAACCTGATTCTGTGTATGTGACGCTCAAAATGCTGTTATTTTACATGCATACTTCCATAAAAATGTTTACATTCACATGTTTCATAAGATTTATGACAGGTCATGCTGGGATTTTGGGACACTGGAAGGTGTTTGATGTACCTCCAAAGAGCATTTTCAAGTCTAACACCAATTTTATCGTATTTAACTTAAATGATACTTGATGCTTTCTTCATTTAAAACTGTATGAATACACCTTCTGTGTGGAAATGTAACACTTTGAAATTTATGCCTGAATCTTTCCCTTGTTTTACTTAACAGAACTACTTTTCACGTAGATGTCATATGTGAACACTCCTTCCAATATGTACCTCACATGACATTTTCACAGCTCAAGTACAATAGCATGAGTTATAGCAACATGGGACTTATGGCCCATGACCCATAACCTCACTTCACTTCAGCTGTTCTGTGATATGAAGGGGTACAGAATACCATGAGGGTGGGAAATCAATCTGGAAATTTAATTATTGAATATGCATTAGATGGTCAGAAAGGAGAGCTTTTGGAATGCCATCAGTACATGAACTTACCTCGTATTTCAGTTGTTTAACAGTCATAGTTAACCAGCTATTTTCCATGCATGTGACTATCCAATTGTATCTCAGTATAATTAAATGTGCCTGCCTGGCAATGTTTAAAGTTCTGTACTGAGTCCCTACATGACAGGGTTAATTTAGCAATCCTAAGAACATTTTTTAAGGTTCTGTTAAGGACAAATTACAAAGGATTTATAAAGGTAGGCTGCTGTATGAGAAATTATCAATGTTAAATTGCAATTTATTTACCTGTACTTTAAAGTTATACTGCATGTATTAGTTCTTTGCAGCACATTCGCATTTCATCTGTTCATTTTGAAAAACGAGTGTCCTGTGGGTTTTTCACGATACCAATAATTTTCTACTAGTCATTACATGACATAACCTGACTTTTTCTAACTGAAACATATTCTAACTATTTTATTAAACCAACAGCAAATGCCTGAATGAACCACCGCCAGGTTATTAGAAATTAGAAGGGGTAAATATACAAAACGGACATAATGCATCTGCAGTATTAGGACATCTCAATCATTTCTCTTTCTTGGGGGCTGATATCGTCTGCTCATGACGGAAAAGTAGTGGATTTGGTGGGAGCAATAAGCATGTTATATGAACATGTATGCGAGTTTTTTTTAGTAATATGGCCTTTAAGGACGCATTTCAAAAAACCACCATCACGCATATCCTACAGTAATACTCTAAACATTTCTCTGTTACTCATAAACATGTACTCTAACGTCTGTATACGAGACCTGAGAAGTCTTCAATGATTCATTCATATTTTTTCCCCACCTCGAAATAGCCGCCTCTAAACCTACAGTAGATATCGTTTGAGGGGGACTTCTATAGTAGGGGAACGCCCCCATTCAGTATTCACAAGGCCGTGATTTGAGACAGGCATCCATTTTCATTTGTGAAGCAACATCCATCCTTTCGCTATTAATTGTGTTCATTTCATCTAAGCTGAAATATGTTCATTTTACGCCATTAATAATGACTTCAAGGTGTGCCAATTTCTGTAATTCAGATTTAACAAGTTAATACTCACAATGAAAACCGAACTATATTTTTATTGGTAAATGTATTCGGACATGCGCGATCACAACACGGCGAAGATTGAAGAGGCATCTTCATAGAAGAGAACTTCCTGTCTGAACAAGTTGTGGCTGATGTATTTTATATGCGTCAAAAATGGTGGAAATAAGGACAAAATGGGGCAAAAGTAGGATATTTTATTTCGCAAATCATGACAGAGGCATCTGAAGAGTAAGTATATACCTTTATTGTTTCAAACAACGTATGTATGTGCGTGAAAGCCCTCCAAGTGTTCAAAATTGGGGCTAGGTCATGGTAGGCATATATCTCTGCTTGCCTCCATTTTCTCGAGGTTTTCTGACCGCTTGAATGTAAAATTTTGTGAAATATGATTATTTATTTCCGTGTGTAATAACAAAGGCTCGTTGAGAAGGAAAATTAATGCTGAAATGAAGTAAGAGTACCATTGTGCGATGTACGTGTATGTTCTGTCTATTGGCCAACCAAACGGACCATTCATATATAGTTGTGCATAGACCTGTATTAATCAAAATTCTGGTCATTGATGAAACCATTCATTCATGAAGTCATTCATAAATATATTATAGGAGCACTGAAGTACAACCAATAGGATAATAAATAGACTTTTGTTAATGCCGGAGGTTGCTGAAACCAAAATCGTCTTAAAAATGTTTTAGTATTATGTACACTTTATTCGGTTGTTTTCAGTCGTCTTATATGAATGAAAATTGTGGAACTGAAAGCGAAAATATAATTAAAGCTGTGTAATTCAGTCATGTCCGGTGTGATGTGTTTCCTATATCATGATGAATGGAACGATTGTAAATGAACAAATTAAATTTGTAGACAGGTGATTAATTTATATCGATTCACAAAATACTTCGTTAGGGAGTTATGTACTGGTTCTTATGGCATATATTAAGGCTGCCATGCAGAATTTTACAACTTAATTACCAGTGTTCTTAATGTGGATGGAAAGTTTGAGTTTATTTTAGACTGTAGTAGAAATGATTTGCAAGGAATGATGATTTCACAGTAATAAGACTACTGGTTTGCATTGTTACTTTATAGTTCCTTTTATATCTGTTTTGCAACTGACTGTTGCTTCCAGAATGATTTTTAAGTTTACACAAATTTTTGTAAAAAGTTTTATCATGTGGGACATGTTTTTTGTTTGTACAGTTTTTGCTACATAACATCAGCAAAGTAACATAATACCATGATCCACACTGGATGATCCAGAATTTATCTTTGTTTTTAATCTAAAATGATGCTGGTAATTTTGATTAACTGTGTATTGTGATGTAACATTTTTAAAGTATTGGTTGTATTGTATTGATATGCAAGTTGAATGTTCACAAATGGAGTCAGTGGGAAATTGCGTCATCTTCGTAACAAGTTAATGACAATTTTGCTGCAAGGACGTCTAATTTCGTTCAGCGTATATGTACATATTTTGGGGCTACTTCGATTGTGTACTGTGACCACATGATTACATCACATCCAATCTGTTTGTTACACTTTAAAATCAATGTATACTTATGTGCTGCCGTCTTCAGTACAGATTTGTGGCCTCTGCACTGCCGTGCTGTTGTGAAGAGTTTCATAGTGAGATTTAAGGTTCTCGTTGCAGCAAATAAGACGGACAAAGAGCAGGTCAGCGGACCTGAAGGTGGCAAATTGTAGTTTTGTTCGGAGTTGCATTTTTTTAGGTCTGAGTGAACAGCTGTTACCTTGAATCTCATTCGTCAGAAAGACTCTTGTCATGTAAGAACTTATAACGAGAATTACTGAAATTAGAAATGGAACTTTGACATTGTCGTGGATTTTTATTTTTTTTTAAAGCGGGTTTTGGGCGGTAACTGTAGAAGTTTTTCTATGCCGTGTATCTAGATTGGTTGGAGTCATGGTACCCAGATAGATGGCAGGGATTTGGTTCACAGTGAAGACAATTTTCTCGTTGCGACAACATCCAGATTCACTCAGGTGCACCTACCCTTTATCCTATTCCTGAAGTCTAGTGTCTGTGGGTGCTTTGATGCCTCTTATATGTCCCACGAGTGTGGCTTTTATAGACAAAGAGAAATGCTATAGCTTTATAGTCATATTTCCAATATAGGAAAACCACGAAAAGCCACCGCAGCAGCTGGTACCACTGTTTCTGTTTGTAGACAGCAAATTTTGACAGGTACTTTTTTGTTTTTTGAAATTAGAACTGCATTGAACACAGTCTAAGTGCAGTTCATAAATATTCACATTGAAGGAAGGGATTCGACTACAATCTTGCAGCAGTCAGATGATTTATTTTTTTATCAATTGTAAAATATTTACTTACTTTTCTTCTTCATTTGTTGCATAAAACTTGAAAAATTATATGCAAGAATTATTGTTAATTCTTGAGTTGTATTTTTAATGTCAAGTGTGTCTTCTGGATCAGTTACAATAAAGACTTGAGTAAAGGGAAACGGGTGTGATACATGAAGATTTCCGTCTTCTGGGTTGTTGCGCTGTGTAGTCTGGTCGATGTGTACCAACGTTTCAGGGGTCATACTGCCTCCATCATCAGGGCAATGAGTATGAAGATTTCTGTCTTCTGAGTTGTTGCGCTGTGTAGTCTGGTAGATGTTTACCAACGTTTCAGGGGTCATACTGCCTCCATCATCAGGGCGATGAGTATGAAGATTTCTGTCTTCTGGGTTGTTGCGCTGTGTA